CTAGAAATTAATGTTTTGCTCGACAAAAATTTACATTTTCGCAAGCTATAACTCAATTTAGGCATGCGAGTCCAGACATAAGCAGTAAGTATCCTTGCAAAATTACAGTGGCTTTTTTCCGACTAATTCCTGGGTTCATATGGTGCCAACATAATCACTGACTTGTTCGTATGAATGAAATAAGCATACGTGTTAGATGAATTTGAAATCTTTAGGTCTTTGAAAAGCTTCAGTTTACTATTTTGTCTGGTTCCCGAAGTGGTTTTCCCGCTAAAACCTTCTCGTGTATTTTTTCCGTGCGACCATTCTTGGTGCAAGTGAACGCTGATTTAGGATGCTGAGGTGGAAACATACTTTTAAAAGCTAAGCTTCTTTACCCTCTCCGGTTGCTGATTTGAAAGTGGGGACAAATGCACAAATACACAAAAAGCCTCTTAACAATATGCGATTTTGCATTGCACCAAATATGCAGAAAAACACAATGCAATGGTTCGGCACAAAACAGCCAAGTGCTGCAAGAAAAGTCGAAAAGCACCACTGAGGCTGTATGCCTTTCAGAGCGCAAAGCTGTGAAAGGGGCACGAGGTTAACAATTCGAACGAACTGAGGAAAAACAGAAAAGCTAAAGGGAAATGTAATTCGAGTCCAATATCACAAAACAATCGATAACGATTGCCCAGCTTACCTCAATTCCTTCCTTCCACAGGTCAACCACATAATACTTCCTGCACCAACCATAGCTTGTAACAAATGCAACGGATATGTGTTCTTCCAAGCACTCTGCGCAACCATTTGGCGGACGTTCGATGTTGAATCTGTGTTTCAAAGTCTAACAAACTTTTCATGGCCTAATAAGCTTACCAACCCACTTCATACCTCTTCGCATTTTTGTTCCTTTGCAATTTCTAAAGAAAGTGAACTTTGTATGTGCATCCTTAAAAAATCGGGCAGTCTTTTGCCGTCAGAAAATTTACCACAAAATGCTATGTGATCTCAGTTAAGCCCTTCATTAAATGACGGAATATTTAATGTAAAAAGATTCTTTGTACAATTTTTATTAAGTGTGTTAAACTGAGGAAGCGGTGGGCTATGGAAAAACGCTTTCTGTAACTTTTTTGTTTTTCTATCAAATTTTAACCAGGATCGTTATGCGTAAAGTTTAGCACAGTTTGCTGAGCAGCTATCAATTCACCGCAAAGCACCTTCATGCCATAAGCGCAATC